GCTAGTAGACACGTGCAAAGTTTCAGAAACGGGCGTGGTGAGGGGCTCAGTAGCGCCACCTTTAGTCAAAAATGGGGTATTAGTTTTACCTACAGTAACAAAAATCGGTATGGATATTCGTCTCCTCGAGCCGGACAACTTTCTAATTGACAGTCATTAGCTCCGAACAACACGAAGTCAGATATTTTGGTTTGAATGTGATTTTCAGGAGAATTTTCCCCCTCCCTCTCCCTCTGTCTCTGTGTGTGGGGGTTTGAGGAATTTGACTATTATTTTAATGGTGTTCAAGGTTTCAGGGGCTTTTGGGGCCCTTAACGTGCTTGAAAACTCTTGAAACTTTGCACACAGGTCAGCGCCCACAGCCATCAGGCCCGGGCTGAAGCTGGTATCCGGGCGTGGCAAGGGGGCTCAACAGCGCCCCCTTGAACGGGGTCCCCAAAACTTGGTCCATAGATCAAACACGCTTGCATGAATTAATCTGAAACTCAATACACATACAGATCTCATCGGGCCGAACAACCTACCCTCGGTCAAGTTTTACGCCAGCCCAACAGGAAGTCGGCTATTATGGGTTGTTTGGAGAACGCTTGCTCAGGAATTTGAAGTACTTTTCCTAGAGATTGCATCCGTTTACCGCCAAACTCGGTCAGCTTGAGGTCAACACATTGAAGATGCTAAATTGCGGACGGATTTTTGATATCTCGAACGGTTTGGCCGTGGCGAGGAAACGAATTTATGGCGAGAAAAGAGAAACACGAAGTGTTATAACTTCTGCATACATTAACTGATCTTAATGAAACTTCAGCAGTGTGTTCGTGGTAAGAGGCCAATCAGATGGATGTAACTATTGTGAGTCAAAGTTATAGCGCCACCAACTGGCAGCAGGAAGTGTGTCACTTTCTAAATGCTTTTGACAAAAGTGGGGGGGTTAGTTTTATCTACAGTAACAAAACTCGATATGTATATTGTACTCTTCGAGCCGGACAACTTTCTAATTTACCGTAATTAGCTACGACCAACAGGAAGTTAGATATTTTGGTTTGAAAATTGTCATTTTATGTGTCTCTCTCTGAGCCTACGTCTCTGTGTGTGTGTGTGTCTGTGAGTGTGGGGAGGGGGAGGGGGAGGGGGAGGGGGGCTAGATTAACCATTTCACTGCTGTGTGGTTTTGCCTGCATTAAAAAGGAAAATAAATGGCTTACGCCTTGTATTTTTTAAATAGGTTTTATTAATAAGTAAAGGCATATAACCAAATTAATTGTAGTGCATTGAAAATAGTTTTATATAATTAGTTTATTAATTAAATTAACTTGGTCCATAAACTTGGTCTGAAAATTTGGTCCATAAATCAAACACACTTGCATGTAATATTATGAAACTCGGTATATAGATCTCATCGGGCCAAACAACTTTAAGCCAGCCCAAAAGGAAGTGGGATTTTGGTCTGAATGTGAATGTTTTGCAAAACCAGCCTCTACATTTTTACCCACTCCTCTTAAGTGGTTTATTCTATTCCCACCAAACTTTTTTAACATGATGAAAATACATTAAAGAAGCATAATTGTGAATATCTATTGAATATCTCAAATTGTTTTGCTATGTCAAAAAAAATAAACACTAAAAGCCTCATATCTTTTAAAAATTTTATTATACACCATTTATTTCTAGATACAATTATAGAAATAACAGAACTAAACCCATTTTATTCTTGTTTTCAATTTAAGAATAATGTAAAAGTTTAAAAACAGCCAGGATTCACTATTCAGTCAAAAAATAAATATATCAAGTAATACATAGGGCTATACTGCCCTCTTGTGTTCAAAATCAGGTAGGCCTATTGTATTTAAATATATTAGGTAGCCTATGTGACTCCGAGAACATTTTCTCACCGGTTATTTGACGTGTAACACCGCCGGGGGGCTTTTAAATCGCTAAGTTAAAAGTGAAAGTAAAGTAAGGACGTCCGCACGGATATTTATAGTGGTGGCGCTCGCAGTGCGCTCGAATGAATTTCTATGGAAGTAGAAATGAAAAAAAGTTCGCTCTGTTTTGCTCGCTTGTCGGACGCGCACCGTTATGAATGCCAGTGCAGCCACATACTTTTTAGTGTCACCAAAGAGTATAGAAGAACAAGAGGCGAAGCTCTGATGCTTTTTTGGTAACAGCTAACCGCTTCGGTAGCGCGACCGCCATTTTGGGGTGAAAATTCCAACTGGAGTGACTGAACAACAACACAGATAACAGTTTTTTGAGGTAGTTTTTTCTTGCATTAGTGAGTATTTCCATTTTATGCAACTTTACACATCTACTATTATTAGTTACCAACTCCACTAGGCCTGAAATATATTTTGTACGTTTTAATCCCCTGGATCATGCTACAAACATGATGACCTTAACATGATGCATTGCTGTGTCCGTTATCATATAATTGCCACTTTGGACAGTGGCTGTGTTTTTTTTGTTTACATAGGCTTGCATGAATGAGACAGTGGATGTTTATGGATTGGTCATTGACTCTTTGAGTAAATCGATTCGTTCAAAATGCTGAATCATTTGTGTCTCTTACAGCGACAAGAGTTTAACCCTTGTTCAAGTTTAAGGCCTTGTCTTTTTGGATATATATATTTTTTTTAAATTCCAAAATATGCATACAACCCATATATTTTAAATGTATTGTTTGCTTTAAATTAAATTAAGATTGTATGTTCATCTGAATTATAAATAATTTATTCCTGTATAAAATAAAAACACATTTGAACTTTCTTTCTTAATCAATGTAGAATGTGTAATTGAAAAATAAACAGATTAGGGCTCCGAAGACAATAAATGAAAATCAATGCGATATGGTGAATGTCCAAAAGATGGCTCCCACAGACTGTTTTTAAATGAGGTTGGATAAATATGTTTTGCTTTTAGACAGTGTGTGCGTGTGATTTTAGTTGGGTGACAGTTGTAGGTTACAGTTTGACAGGAGTTTACAGTTTGACAAAAGCACTTTGTTGTGTTTTATTGCGACTGTACACACATATAAGTAAACAATTTGCAGTTTGAATGATGTCCTCTATGAACAAAATGACAGAGTATGTTTTTATGTGTAACAATGTTCAATCTCACACACACACACACACACACACACACACACACACACACACACACACACACACACACACACACACACACACACACACACACACACACACACACACACACACACACACACACACACACACACACACACACACACACACACACACACACACACACACACACACACACACACACACACACACACACACACACATATTGCATCATTGCAATCTTGACATCGCAGCCTGTTCATTATAGCCTTAATAATATATAATGATAAAATAGTCAACCTAACATTACCTAACACTAGTGCCTATTCTTTAGATACTAGTGCTTATTCTTTAGATATTCTTTTGAATACGTATTAGTAGCTAATGAATAAGTACTGGTATCTATTTAATAGGTACTAGTATCTAATGACTTAGTACTAGTATTTATTGAATAAATACTAGTATCTATTAATAGGTACTAGTATCTAAAAGGTCATTTTCTCTCTCTCTCTCTCTCTCTGAGCCAATATGGCAAGCCGTTTTAACATTTAATCATTTTAACCTACTAGTCTCTATTTTCATGCTACTAGTACTTATTTTTTAGATACTAGTATCTATTCCATTAAGTACTAGTACTTATTCATTAGCGACTAGTGCTTATTCTGTTTAGAATATTCAAAGTGCTTATTAAATTTTTATGCTTATTTATATTTTCAGAGCAGAAAATCCGATTTTTCTGCTTATTCAATATTGCATCTAAAATGTAAGTGACTTGACGTGTGTGTGTGTGTGTGTGTGTGTGTGTGTGTGAGAGAGAGAGAGAGAGATTGTGTCTGTTACAGTGACAAGAGTTTAACCCTTTAAGGCCTTGTCTTTTTGGATATATATCTTTTTTTATTACAAAATGTGCATACAACCCATATATTTTAAATGTATTGTTTGCTTTAAATTAAATTAAGATTGTATGCTTGGTAATTTAACCTAAATAAATTTAAAATGAATGTGCTATATTTCAGATTAATATAGCCTATTTGTTTTCCTTCATTTTAATCAACACTAACTTTATTCTCATCTGAATTATAAATAACTTATTTCTGTATAAAATAAAAAATCCCGAATAATCCAGACCAACCAGAGCGCACTATTTCTACAACATCATCAGTGCTGAAGCGGAACTACCAAAGCCGTTCGGCAGATAGCGAGCAGATATTTTGATATTTTGTGTCACGTTGTGCACAATAACCCTAAAGGCACCGGGGTGGCGGTGCCACCGGCTTTTTATATATATATATATATATATATATATATATATATATATATATATATATATATAAATATAGCTGCGAGCAGCGATGAAGGGCCAAAGCCGGCGGCACCGCCACCCCGGTGCCTTTAGGTAACTAAAGGCACCGGGGTTGCGGTGGCACCGGCTTGGGCCCGTAATCGCTGCTCGCAGCTATATTTTATTTTTGTATTTTCCATTTTCATTTTAAAGTTTTAGAAATTGTGAAAGTGTTTTTGTTTCTTAATATGTATATACAGTTAATTTTTATTTCTGTAGTAAACTAAATTAAAAAGAAAAATGTTGCTTTGGCAACTAGCTGAAATATATTTTTTTATGTTTTATTTTAAGTAACAAATGGTTTTTGTTTTAGGTAACAATAATAACCCTGAAGTGAACCAAACATAATTGTGACAAGTTCAAATTTTATAGTGTATTGAACTGGTAAAATGTCCACCTTTTTTAAATGCATAAATTTAAATAAAGAATTGTAATTGATTTCAGAGCAAGTGTATACACGTTAGCATGACCATTATCTCAGAAAATTGTAAAGTGAAACTAAATCAGGAAAAGGAAAAGTTGTAGCTTGATCAAAAGAAATTAAATAACAATTTAGTCATTTTTAAAAGAGTATATCTCACCTCTGACATTTAAGCCATTATCGCAGGCAAACTGTGCAAAAGGAGACATGTAATTGGGGTCGTATGCTAAAACATGGGCCTGTTCAGCAATACTTTTGGCTGTTTGCTGGATGCTTTCATAGTTGGTATTCTGAAAGCAGAGCACACAATTCGTATTAGTGTCACTGGAAGACAGAAAAATCGACAGAGTGAAGTGTTGTACGTAGATGTTCCGGTACCTTGAGTTTTTTAAGTTCATGTAAAATCATGTAGTCTGGCATGTTGTCAAAGAGACCATCTGTAGCTGTGAGTATAATGTCTCCCAACTGGACATCGAAGGATGAGCTATCAGCAGCATCAGGGCTGTGGGACACAAGAGGACACAAAATTGTTACTTTGAATGCAAGTAAACTCAATAGTTTAGTTGTGAAATTTGATATTCCCATTCTGAAGGTTGACATATTTGAAAGAAATTAAATATTCACTTCTCACAATGTATCTCAATGTCTTTAGGTCACCTCAACAATCCATCAAAACCAACTAAATGCACATTCTGTGTTTTTAGCTATAATATACAGTAAGCATTGCTGTTTGCGGACCATATTTAGAAGCACAGTTGAAAAGAATAAAAGCAGTTTCAGTCTAAGAAGCTTTTAGCTTGATCCTCATTACAGTATAAAGCACGCAGAACATACAGATCAGCTGTGAAGTGTCGTGTTCTGTTCCAGGAAGTCAGTCGCAGGCATTATGCCCACTGATACGAATACACTGGCTGTCATTCCCTCCGTCTGCGCCGTGCCCCGGGTCACGCGGTTTAAACATGATACTTGGTTTGAATAAAAAATTCAGAGAATTAAGAAGTGGAAACGTTTTTTTTTTTATTTTTTTTTTTTTATGGAACAGTATTAAAGATTTAGACCTGCAAACTGAAGAATATCTGGCCTCAGAGAACTACTTCTACTAGCTCATCCGTCAAAGAGAAACCAGCTAATGTATGGGTTTACTGACGCCATGCTAAGGTCGTCTCCATTACCTTGGCAGCCAAGTCATGTGTCTGGAAAGATTAAAATTAACTGGATGTAGCTCAGAGCAGAAACAGCCCAACACCACCGCTTAACCGTGATAAATTCACTGTAAGGCTGTGTCCGAAATCTCCCACTACTCACTATATAGTGGACTATATAGTGAGCTCGCCATTTTGTAGTGCTGTCCGAATGTATAGTGATGATTATTATACCCTATATAGTCCACTCAATGTATCCCAGAATGCATTTTGAAAAGTAGTGTACAACCGATGGTCACTAACCCAAGCCTCACATACCATCATGCATTGCGCTGATCGTAAAAGACCTATCAGCATCATCTTCATCTTTAACTTACAATTTGTCGACGTCTCGCTAGCTAGCGTAGCAAGAACAGCACGTCGTTTTCTGTGTCTAGAAATCCTGTTTCTTTTGCTAATCCGCAAAATCTTCTGAATCACGAGAACAAACAAACAAAAAAGATAAATATTGAGTGGCATCTCCACAGAGTCTAAAAGCTGTTTTATTAAGAGTATTATGAGCAAGATATTTGATAACGTAGATCTGTTTTTTTTTCCCTAATGTCGACAGGCAAGAGAAAACGGTGTGGCGCGAAAATGAAAATATATGAAATATGTGTATTAATTTTATTTATGTTTATAAGTTATAATCATGTGTGGAGTAACGCATTATAACAGAAACGGCCAGAAATGACTTTTAATTTTACAATTTTGGAGATATAAGCTCAATATAATGTAATGTATTTATATATTTAAAAAAAACGATTTAGCCCAGAGCTGGCTCGGCACCAGCTGACAGATGATGGCGTGTTTAAATAGTGCGACGGCGCAGAGAGACAATCGAGTAGTGTCCGAAAGTGGTGTTTCTATTATGCTGGTGAGCTCACTATATAGTGCTCTACTCCCTACCCCCTACATAGGGGTTAGGGAGTAGTGGTTTGAGTGGAGATTTCGGACACAGCCCATATCACTGACTTAGGGCCATGTTTACTAGACAGAGTGGGGGTCCCAAGTCATATAATGGGGAGGGTTGGAGAAAGACCTGGGGACCTACTCTGAAAAAAATCATCGCAAAGAAAATTAACTGACAGTGTATTGCGTATGGCGAGAGATGGCCCATAGAGAATCACCAAGAGAGTCGGATATGACTGAAATGGCTAGACAATAGGTTTACATGCATCCAAGGTCAAAAAACACTTTCATTTTCTGATAATATCCTTAGCACATCACCTCATTTCTCAAAGTCTGAAGACGAAGCTAAGTTTCAGCTCTTCCTCAGCGCTTGTATACACTGTGATTCACACATTAATGGTGGCATCAGTTTTACCGTATCGATTCGAGCGCGAGTCTAATCCTTTGGAAGTGCATGCAAAAGTAGATTTGCTTTTTACAGCGTTTTCTTGACATGTCGACCACATGAACCGAACTCTTCCAGCCTCGGCTACAACTACAGTTTGAGGGCGAGTCAAAATAGATGTTTGCGGGCAGCCAATGAATACCATAGGCTGGCATTATGCAAATTTGTTTACAAACCTATGTATGTTCGTGCAGGAATAAAGACTGGAATTGCTGACGACTCGTTTCAGGCAGTTCAGAATCGATTCTTTTGGGAGACGATATATCCATTTATCGTGGACTTTGAGCCTTGAGACTTTGCAGACCTTAAAGGGATACTCCACTTTTTTTGGAAATAGGCTCATTTTACAACTCCCCCAGAGTTAAACTGTTGAGTTTTACCGTTTTTGAATCCATTCAGCCGATCTCCGGTTCTGGCGGTACCACTTTTAGCATAGCTTAGCATACATCATTGAAGTGGACAAGACCATTAGCATTTCTAAAAAAAAATTACCAAAGAGTTTCGATATTTTTCCTATTTAAAACTTGACTCTTCTGTAGTTACATCGTGCACTAAGACCGACGGAAAATGTAAAGTTGCGATTTTCTAGGCTGATATGGCTAGGAACTATACTCTCATTCCTGCGTAATAATCAAGAAACTTCACTGCCGTACCATGAGTGCAGCAGGCGTAATGATATGACGCAGCGCCTGAAAATAGGCTACCTTCCGTCAACACAACGGAACTATTTTCAGGCGCTGCGTCATATCATTACCGTTTTTTACCAAAAACGGTAAAACTCAACAGTTTAACTCTGGGGGAGTTGTAAAATGAGCCTATTTCCAAAAAAAAGTGGAGTATCCCTTTAAACATTCACAAACATGTAATGTAATATTCGAAAAAGCATAATAGGGGCACTTTAAAGTCTAAACCAGGAGCTGAATTTTGAATTTAGTGATGTAATCTTTGCAGTCATGCAAATTGCATTGTTTTCAATTTGCTGAAATAACAAAAGAGACGTTTGTTTTTCAGTGCTTTCAGCAATCAGTCAACATAGCCCTGTGAACCAAAGCGTGATGCAAACCCTGAATTATGAATATCAAATTATATTATTAATGAGCAAATAATTAAAACAGCCTTAACATGAGGTCTTAAAAAGCTTGAGAATAAATCTAGATAATGCAAAAAATAGCATTTTTTAGGATAGATTAAGCTTGGTGCACAATTATCAAATTTTGTTTTTTGACAAATAAAGCCGTTCTAATCTGAAATAGGAGAATAGAGAGATCATTACGTATCCTAGACAGTAGAGTAGACGCTGTAGTGTTCACACAGAGTGACGCATATCTCTCCGGGAGGAACTGATTATCCAATCGAGTTAATAACCAGGCTCTCAGAGTGAGGACCTAATCATGCTCTCATACTGACAGCCAGGGGATTATGTCTCGCTTGCGTCTAGGTTGGGGACACGATGCTGTTGCATAATCAGAAAGCTAGAGGAGTGAGGGTCTCACCTGTCGCTGAGAACGGAGCCCTCTGCCTCAGGAGGGGCGATCGAGAGCTGGAAAGGGGTGTTGAAGTAATGCTGCTGTTCATCAGACCGGTGCACCACCTCTCCACCTCGAACCACCAGAAAGCCAGAGTCTCCTAGGTTAGCCGTGTGTAGCCGGTGACTCTGCCTGTCTAGTACCACGATACACGCTGTACTGCTTCCTAAAGTAGAGAAAGATGCTTAATCAGTTACATGATAGGTCATTTAAAGCATAACAATTTTATTCAAGCACCAAAATTTTATTAAAAACATTCTGCCTAAAATCGAATTAATCTTCATTTTGATGAACCGATATCTTTGTCCATGCTGTTTTCAGTTAATGCATGAACAAAACATTATTTGTATAAAAACATCCATTAAATCGCAATAAGCTCTTTGCTTATGAAAAAGTCTCAGCTTTCAAATCGTCTATTTTCTAAGGAAATTCAAAGAATAAATGTGGTTTTGATACTCTTTAAATGTGGTGTGACAGATCGCTGTAGTGCCTGAGTTCAAGCGGCACGTGACCCGATCATCTCTTCCCCTTCACTACTAGTCATTGTATGAAATAAGCATGAATGAACACAGGGGCCGGTTTCACAAAGATAGACTTTGACTGTGGCTTAGATAGAGTAGATAGTCAGACTTCAGATAGACATCTAAATCAGACTGTTGCACAAAGCACTCAAGACTCTGACTATCTTAAGTAGGACTACACTGCAATGCATTCTGGGTAAAATAAGACAGTTTTCAAAACATGGCAGATCGAGTAAGCGCATTCATCCGCTCAGTGCAGTTTACCCCAGCGGAAAATATGTGTTTGTTGGAGGAGTATAACACTTACAAGAACATTTTACTTGGGAAATTTAGCGGAGAATGTAGTAACAAGAAGAAATGTTTAATTTGGAAAGGGCCATTTTCCCATTGCTTTTGGCTGTTTGTAATGTAACTGATCGTTACTGCTGGTTGCCAAGGTAACAGAGTCTTAGACCTAAGTTAGCCTGGTGGGAAGGCGTCTAATTTTTTTGGTCTAAATTAAGTCAGTCTTTGTTTTTGTAAAACAGTCTAACTTGCATTAGACTTTTATATGAGCAAATTTTAGACTTGTTTAACACTATAGAACGGTCTAAAATAGCTTTGTGAAACCGGCCCCAGAAGGAGTGTTGAAAGAACCAGTACAACTTACTGAAATGTATCATGACTCATGCAATCGCTCAATTTGACCGTTCGCAGGCCCCTCCCCCAAAACGGCTATTGTCCAATCACACATCATAGCAACCGTTACTATGTGAGCAGGTCCGTCAAACATTGACTCCAAGCAAGATGGTGAAGCGGTGCGACCACGGCGTTTGTAAATCGGACACTAGATACCCCGAGAGATTGTCTGGAGGAGTTCTGTTCTTTCCGTTTCAAAAGCCGAAAACACAACGTCGTTGTCCCTACAATGGATAAAAACAGTGTGGACGGCCCCACTCCCAGTTAAATGTGTCGAACATGGTTAACTCGCGTGCAGCGTGCGTGAGACTGAGACACTGAGATTAGTCAAAGACACATGGAGAAAGCAGATCAAGAGGATCCACAAAGGAAGTACGTTTTCTTAAGTGTTGTTGTTAACATGATATTTTCGGGGGGAAATGAGCAGCAGTCACTAGCGCAGGCAGCACCTGTAGACTACAGTTTAGACTAACGTTAGAGGAGTGCACGGTTCGCAACGGGGAACGCATGAAGCTTACTTGACTACATCAGTTCATATCAATATCGTAACGAATAGAAATAATGTATGGTTATCTGCATCTTTCCGTCTATTATGTATAGTTACTTTTTTAACACGAAAATCGCATTTAGCATGACACGCAAGCAGTTGCCGTGGTAATGAACAACCTGATTGTTAAAGCGAATGAATAATCCTGTATCTGAGGCAAACAAACAAACAATTAGCCACTGAAACAGCTTATAGAATCTTCTTCAAGGCTGTGCTGGTTGCATTTGAGGTAACGTTACAGGTCATGGGGTTTCTCAGATTTCGCTTGAGACCGGTTTGAGAGCTTGAGAGCATTATTAGCCTCGATAGTAGTCGTGTCTCCTTCATTGCGTATTTTTATATTTTGAATATATCCCTCCACTGCATACTGTAACCCCTTTTGCCTCGATCTGGAGGATATCGCGGAGGTATTGCTCCAAAAAAGGTCACTGACGCACCTCTTCCCGTCATGGCAATCTGTGGCGCTGGTCGTGTTTGACCATTTGTTTGACGGGCGTAGCAACAATAACTAGGGGGCGTGGCTTTTGCGAACGGTCAAATCGTGTTTCAACTGCAAAAAGTCTTCAATAATACAGCTCGAGAACAATATGTTATGTTACATTTTCCTCAGGAAAGCCATTCAGTGTCTATAGCAAAATATTACAAATATTTTATTAATAAAATATTTTTAAGAGCAATTTGCTAAATACACTCACCGGCCACTTTATTAGGTACACCTGTCCAACTGCTCGTTAACACTTAATTTCTAAGCAGCCAATCACATGGCGGCAACTCAGTGCATTTAGGCATGTAGACATGGTCAAGACAATCTCCTGCAGTTCAAACCGAGCATCAGTATGGGGAAGAAAGGTGATTTGAGTGACTTTGAACGTGGCATGATTGTTGGTGCCAGAAGGGCTGGTCTGAGTATTTCAGAAACTGCTAATCTACTGGGATTTTCACGCACAACCATCTCTAGGGTTTACAGAGAATGGTCCGAAAAAGAAAAAACATCCAGTGAGCGGCAGTTCTGTGGGCGGAAATGCCTTGTTGATGCCAGAGGTCAGAGGAGAATGGCCAGACTGGTTCGAGCTGATAGAAGGGCAACAGTGACTGAAATAACCACTCGTTACAACCGAGGTATGCAGCAAAGCATTTGTGAAGCCACAACACGCACAACCTTGAGGCGGATGGGCTACAACAGCAGAAGACTCCACCGGGTACCACTCATCTCCACTACAAATAGGAAAAAGAGGCTACAATTTGCAAGAGCTCACCAAAATTGAACAGTTGAAGACTGGAAAAATGTTGCCTGGTCTGATGAGTCTCGATTTCTGTTGAGACATTCAGATGTTAGAGTCAGAATTTGGCGTAAACAGAATGAGAACATGGAACCATCATGCCTTGTTACCACTGTGCAGGCTGGTGGTGGTGGTGTAATGGTGTGGGGGATGTTTTCCTGGCACACTTTAGGCCCCTTAGTGCCAATTGGGCATCGTTTAAATGCCACGGCCTACCTGAGCATTGTTTCTGACCATGTCCATCCCTTTATGGCCACCATGTACCCTTCCTCTGATGGCTACTTCCACCATGTCACAAAGCTCTAATCATTTCAAATTGGTTTCTTGAACATGACAATGAGTTCACTGTACTAAAATGGCCTCCACAGTCACCAGATCTCAACCCAATAGAGCATCTTTGGGATGTGGTGGAACGGGAGATTCGCATCATGGATGTGCAGCCGACAAATCTGCGGCAACTGTGTGATGCCATCATGTCAATATGGACCAAACTCCCTGAGGAATGCTTCCAGCACCTTGTTGAATCTATGCCACTAAGAATTGAGGCAGTTCTGAAGGCAAAAGGGGGTCCAACCCGTTACTAGCATGGGGTACCTAATAAAGTGGCCGGTGAGTGTATATGCTCTATATTACTTGACATTTATTATTTAACATTTATGCCTGAATAAATCTGCCATGAAAACTTTTTTTTTTTAATGTTCACATTTCAACAATGAATTGGAGTAGAAACAATTACATTAAGTTGATATAAAAACTGCCATTGCAAATTTAAATGTTTGTCTCCAAGTACATTTTTTTTATTATAAATTAAATATGATTAATATTTTCACTATTTTCAGTGTTTCTTGTACTAGCTTTGAGCAGATTTAAAAACAAAATCCAATCTTGTGAGCCAATACTCTGTCCGTGACTCATCCAGCCCACAGTGTGTTTTTGAGGGCAGCACACTGTACAAGTGACTCATTTCACTCCATTACATTTTAGTTACGGCTTTGATCTTATCCTGAGAAAAATGAGCCAAGGCCCTTTCCAAAAACATTTCGTTCCCCAGTCAGGAAAGATAAAACTTTACTCTTGACTGTCCCAGAACATCCAGTCCTCAGTTTTATAGCATATCGGTGTGTACTGTCTCACATGTCAGTGCATGCATAGTTAACATGCCATCGCACATGAACACCTTAGGTTATGAATGTTAGTCTGATGCTTAAAGTTACTTTGTAGAAAAACTGATCTTTAGAGTATGTAGCAAAACATGACGAATTCTCCTGTTTACAGAAGCGTATGAATGGAAGTGAACGGAACACAAAATTGAGCGACCGCACCTTAATTGAAGCCAGAGCATAACGTCGAAGCCTCCAAAACACATTATGATCTAATGTCTCTACAGTTTTCATTTGAAAACTGAAAATTTGAAAAGACAGTTCAATGCAAATGCTTTTTCTCTCCAGCGCTCTCATTTTAACGCTTTCATGTGAAGAGAGACTTCCATTGTACAGCATACTGCACACTTCTGTTTCTACTTGTGAAATGAATTCACTTCATAATCCATAAGCTAAAGCTGAATATGCTCACCTAATAGCGGTACTTTGTTCTGAAGTAGCTCATAGTAGCTGGTGGTGAGGATTCCCACTGGGTTGCTTGGCACAAATCTCCCTTCTTTGACGAGCCGCTCACACGTCCTCATGAGCGTCCCAGAGAACTGAGAGGGGTCGACTCCATAGTCCCGCCAGCCACCCACTCCATCAGCCACACCTATAGGTGATACAACAGAAACACGACGAGGGACAATACCATTAGAAAGCTGCATTTTATAAATGCTTAACAAGCAACAACACAACTGCCAATTGCTGTAGTGTTTCTGTACAGCTATTTTACATCTACAGAGAGAAATTCATAATTATATTCAGCAAGGATGCACTAAATTGATCAAAAATGACAGTAAAGACATTTATAATGTTGCAAAGATTTTGATTTCCAAAATATGCTGTTCTTTTTAACTTTCTATTCATCAAAGAATCCTGAAAATAAGTGTATCATGGTTAACACAAAAATATGAAGCAGCAAAACTGTTTTCAACATTGCTATTGCTAATAAGAAATATTTCTTCCGCATATATGCATATTCAAATGATTTCTGAAGGATCATGTGACACTGAAGACTGGAGTGACGATGCTGAACATTTAGCTTTGCATCACAGGAATAAATAAAACCAAAAATAATTATTTATATACCAATATTATTGATTTTACTGTATTTTTAATCGAATATATGCAGCCTTGGTGAGCATGAGAAAATAAAAAAACAAATTTTACCAACCCCAAGCTTTTGAACGGTAGTGTACATAAATACACCAGAGTTCAGTTTCCATCAAAGGATAACTATATTGGGTTACCATAATATAAAATTATTCATACTGTGATGTAATATTTTCATCAGCTAAGGTCCAACTGAATTATCAAGTAGGATTAAGAAGAGGTGAGCAGGAGGTAAAGTGAACATATCTGATGGGAAAACTTGTTGACCCACAAGCGAAAATGGACTTTTAAAAGTAAAAAGTGGTTAACAAGCAGATGAACTGTATCGGAACACTGTCTAATGATGACAATAAACTCAACCACAGGATTTCCCACTAAATAATGTAGGGTAATAGCATTTCTAAGCTGCTATATAAAGCACAATGGTTATGTTTAGTGATAGACTAATATGTTGGCTATCGGTTGACCATTTTGAGATTATTGTAATTGGATGACACCCCTGCATGTTTTAACCTGTTAAGTGTCACCCCCCTTTTTTTGAATAGACATGAAAATGCACATTTCAAACTTAAATGGTTGTAATTCAAGAATGCTTTGGAATATAGACGTAAGATTGGTCTTGTTTTAAAGAAGACATTTGGCAGATTTTTGTAGAAGTTAAATAAATTAAGAAAGTGAAACAGAATAAAATGTATAGAAGTTTGAGTTTATGGAAATGTACAATGTAAAAAGAAATATTATTCATATTTTACATTAAATATATATTTTCAAAACTTGGGCGACTCTAAAACTGCAGAAAAATCAAAGCCAAAAATCTGAACAAGTTGTGTTTAAAATTTTTGATTGATATCTCAAAAAAAAAAGAGCTTTCAGTAAGATTTTGTTTGGGCGCAGTACCCAATTTTTTCACTAGGTCACAACCAGACTCCATTACTGCCCATATAAGGGCGCCTCCATTTCCAAATGTGTTTTTGGGTGATCTAAACCATTATTTCCACAATTTTCATACAATTTATGAAGTAGACATCCTATTCAGAAGTAGTATGGGAAGTTTGGCAGATTTTGATATGAATTCAACCTCTAAGAAACACATACAAAGAACACGTATGTGCATTATAGCTCGCTGCCACACCACAAATGGTGAATTTATTCTTTTTTTCTTTATATTTAAAAAAAAAAATCAGACATTTTTTCCTAAAATAATTGAATGGATGCTATCTTTTGAACTCTTGGCATGAAAACAAACTGAGGTTTCTACCATTTTTTCATGCTTTTTCATGTTTATTGCTATTTCAAAATAAAGGTCTGAACACACCTTAGGAGTATGAAAATATTCTTGTTGCAAATTGATAAATTACGGCTCCTCTGTAATTTATTTTGAAAAGCAGTCACCAAATATGGAAACTAGAGATTGTAAGCTTTCAAATGATATATAGTTTGTCAATATTACTTAACGTTTTTACCAAGATATTACCGTAAAAAAAAAAAAAAGGCAAATGTCCCACCTGTGGGACGGTGACAGTTAAGTTAATGATGAAAAAAAAGAGTATTAATTTCACTTTAATTTGCGATTTTGTGCACATTTACCATTAAAAACCCCACATCTGTCAACCACTAGTTATGCTCAAGTAAATAAAGTGATTTGCAGACCAGTCTTGATTGAATATTAAGAAAGCAAACGTTTACTGCCTACACCCCAAAGATGTAATGTGCACGCATTTCCAAATCAGTCCAACAGACAGGGAATTTTCCCTACAAAGCCCTCCCAGCTTCCTATCTGACAATGAGCAGGAACCCTCGTTCGTGACCATACAAGGCCAGTCCCCTCGTCGACCTCCATCCTCTTGTGATCTCGCCTTAAAAGCACTGGGATTTCCAGAGATAGATTTGCTGGCTTGAAGCTTGAAAAAGTCTTGGTTGTCGTTTCTTAGGCCATCGCAGAACCCTGCTCATGTGTTTGAGATGTAGAAGAGGATTTAGATCCCAGGTTAATTTGACTTTGACGTATAGCTGTCCAAGTAGGTCTTAGAAACATGTTAGCAGGTCTACTAACATCTGACATTTGAATACTCCTTATAAGTGGCTTAAATGACAGAAAACTGGTGCAGTACAAGGACTAATCTGCTTCATCTTAAAACTGAACTTTGAAGGACTACTAATAAACTCTTAGAGCCATTATTTCCTTGTAAAAAATAATTTTATTCCCAAGAGAAGCATGAAGTAAAAGATTTGCTTTTCAGTGTTAAACACTGTCAAGATGAAACCCAAGTCTGTGGCCTTCAGTGTTCATCTATTGTTTTGCACCCACATTTTTCAGATGCACTTCCTCCTTGTAACTAGACAATGGATTTTCTGTTACACTAACTAATCTGCACTCTTGTTAACCCCCAAAAGTTGCCATTCTCGGGTTAGAAGCAATGTTGAGGTTACCAACAGGTCTATATGGTTATGGAATAATGGTGTGAAATATTATACCACTGCAAAATGATGCTAGCGATATAACAGTTCATACCCTCCAGTCACGTGGAGCACCAAACATTAGAAACCGGCTCCCACTCATTTTATACTCTTTAATTGTTTGGTGACAGGTGAAGCAATTCTGGATTCATTTTGTATGCAGTAGTAAAGCTACAACAAGCATTAACACACGTTTCCAATATATTCAAATACGTAGTAACGAATTAAGTGGAGATATTTTAAAGCAGTCAATTAAACTTAATGTTTACTATTATGTCATTAAAATTGCCTTAAATAATGTTATTTAAAGCGTTATTTAAGTTGATTTCATTAATTGATTTTTAAAATATAAACATACACATTGCAAAGGCTCCTGCTGTTGTAACGTTACCTACAACCCACCGATGTGCGACAGTTGTGACGTCAGAAGCGATTTAAACACAATGATACTTGCCTAAACCAGTTCTTTTAAGCACATTATCTTTGCATACAACACAAAGATGATTTAATGGTTTTAGCGATTACATACCTAACACATCAGCAGATCTGTGTCGGGCTATAAAGCACGCGTCGTCACCATAACACATCCCTTTCTTCAAAATCCCCTTGCGAAAGTCCTTCCCGAAGCCGAAGCTGGCGGACACCAGGCTGTAGTCCCGGCTGTCGGTTTGAGAGAGTCCGCCGATGACCGCCCGGGCCACCAGTCGACCGTACGAGAGAACGGACAGCATCACCCCCGGTTAACGTTAGTTAGACTCAGTACTAACAACAGATCCACGGCCCTTGATGACGTCTGGAGGTGTCACTTACAGCAACCACATCCACAATGTTATTAAACGACCTTACAACCGCATCAACTTTCAAAATCTCGCTGCCTTTACGAATCAATCACCGATCTGTCGCATTCAGCTCTCCATAGTGATCGATCCGATGTGATTCAGAACATCCAAGTCGAACCGGGTTTTATAAAACTCCTTTTACTCGCGTTGAGCCCCATCGCTGCGCGCTCGCGTGTCTGTTGCTCGTGCACTGAAGGCCGCGGCGCGCGACTGAAGTCTTATGACTGCTGTGACGTCAGACGCCGTTACGCAACCCGTGTCCCTTTAATGGAGTATAACAGTTTAATGGGGACCAGTGAAAGAATACCAATACATAGACTTTTGAGTTTATCAAATATGACGGACAAACTGAACCCGGTTGCACTTGATAAATTACGTATACATTTTTTTAATAAAGTTGTGATTTTATGACTACAAATGTCAGATGGAATAAGGATGTAATCAGTCATAAGTAAATTTTACAAATATAATGTATTTTGACTCATGAATATTAATTAATGGGTTACTGTGTGTTTTTGTGGTGATGCAGATTAAAAAAAAAAACAAGCTTCGTGTAATTGGCCCGTGTCTATTTCTGTATTGCTGCCTCTTTCTTGGTAAAATACAAAGACATTATTTAAGATTCCACTTGAAATATTTAGATTCTGGTTGTAAACAATCATATTTTATATAGTTTAATACGGATTCATGATTCAGAATAGAGTATTTTAGGAGTTATAGACCATTTTGGAGGGATAATGCATCTTAACAGCTTGTGGTTTCAGTCAGTACGAGAACATGGACTTCCTAACCTCTGGCCACAGGCCAGTTTCTGCAGCTTTCAGCACGTGTTGAACTTGGCTGAACCACTGATATGCCAAACTACTAGCATCAGTACTTTCAATTAAACCTGTCTTATGATGTTAGTAATGTGGTAGAAAAAGTCCCATGGTTCCACAGACAAGGCTTAAGCCTAGTCCTACACTACAATGCATGTTTGAGCTGAAACTGAAAGCAACTTGCACTGCCATATCTTAAAATATGCCAGTGCCATTGTTTTGTCTCAAGATGCACAACAGTAATGTTTTTTTAGGTATGTTTTTAAAAGCTACTTAAATGTTCTAATTGAACTATGCCTAATCGTGTCTGTGAAACCAGGCCTAAGTCTGGTAGTTTATTATACTGAGGTTGGTCTATTTCCAATGGGGTGGTGTGGTGTTATGAAACAGATGTGTTGACTTACAGTTTTTCTCAGTCGCTTTGGTGCATTTCTCACATCACTATTTACATTTGCACAACAGTTAGTTCAACCTCCACAACATTTAGTCATTTGTGCACGTCATAGTATCAGTTTCTCATTCCTTCCAACAAATTGCAAATGCTTTTGGACATGCATCAATTGCTTTCATACAACTCTCTGCTGTTTTATAACATTATCATTTGCTTGTGTCATGTCAGTCAAAATTAACTATACTTGTGAATGCTGAATAGTCATTCCATATAAAACTAATAGTCCTCATTTCACTGCTTGAGTCATCACATACAAAAATGTTGAACTAGTTGTCGAAATCTGTCAAGCTAATTTTACTATTTTTGTTATCTTTTTAAAAAAATATATTTTTTTATCCTAAATTGAACAATTTCTCTCAGGTGAACCTCAGCTTTCATTGATGAGAAGGGATGTGCATGAATGATTTACAGTACTATGTATGTTGTATGTTCAGTTCCAATATGTACTGCAATATTGTTTACAGTTTTGCACAGCTCTACCCAAAGGGAGTTTATGTTTGTTGTAAATAAGGGTGTATTTTTTATTTTGCACAATGCTGTGAACAAATTAGATTTGCAAAGAGCATATGCAGTAAAAAAATGTGAAACATACATATCCAGTGAAACATACACATATTCAGTTACCTCACTAAATACAGTAATGTGTAACTTTACTGTAGTTTTCAAATGGCTGTGCAAATAGTATATAGTGCTGTCTTGAGCATTTTCAGGTAGTGTCACCAAGATCTGACTTTTTTTTTTGCATTGGAAAACATTTACAGAGTAAACTGTCATAATGAAAACATGACAAAGCCATTTGTATATCTTGTTCATAAACAATGGTGTAGGGACTTTTCATCTTGATGACACTGACACTTTCATTGACAGCTTTTGAGGAATGATCCATTTTGAGCAAGTGACACGCTTTTGCAGGTTATCAACTAGGTTTTGCAGTTTGTACTAATTGTTTTGAGAACTGCATTAACTGTTGTGCAAATGTAAATAGTGATGTGAGAAATGCACCAAAGCGACTGAGAAAAACTGTAATGAAGTCTTTGCCGCCATCTAGTGGTCGTGCTGGCGCAGTACAGCTTTAGACAAACAACATGAATAGAATGTCATCCGCTGATTATAAGGTTATGTTGTCAACGTTTTTTTATTTATTTTTATTTTTTTATAACTGATGTATTGAAAAAGTGTAATCTGAATGTCTATTCGATTTTTTTAGTCTTGCATTAATCTTAATTATACAACTTTTTTTATGTACACGATTTTGTTCCCATGCTGCTGCTGAAATGGCGTTAAAAAATAAATATCAATATCAATCAGTGACTAAATATTTTAGATACTCTTCTCTCTTTCTGTATCACTTGTGCTACAACGTTCAACACTGCAGTGTAGGCCTGCAAACGCTGGTATGTTCACTGCAAATGCCAGGAAAGTTTAATATGTTGTTTCTTTTTACTAAATAATTTGAAGCTTGTTTCAGTGCCAGTCTTTATTTATACATTCTAAGATTTAATTCACGGTTTTAGGTTAAAAACACCCAGTATAGCCTATACTCCGTATAATAAACTCGTTCACCTAACCTTGCACATCTTTGAAAGAGACTGTAAGAAGTGGACGATCAGCCTGAGATGACTCGCCACTGCAGAAGTTTGTAAAAATGTACCTTGACTTCTTTTAAAGGTTCAGGGTTGTGAAATAACAATAACACGAGAGACCTTGTATTGTAAGTCCACTACTCAGACAGTAGGTGGCAGTAAGGGCTTATGTTAGTTAGTCTCTCTTTACCAGTGTTTTTCTGCACCGCTTTTTCTTCAGTGTCACTGAAAAGAAACTCTTTTACTGTCTATGAAAAGAAATAATATGAAACTTGAATGTGAGTTTGCTGTCTGTATTGAAGTTGATGCAATATAAAAACCGTGTACCGCGAAGTAATGGCAAGAAATGTACTTCTAATGACAGATGCAGTCCGATTTACGAATATATAATACTATAGGCCTAATACAGTCTTCAGTGTCACATGATCCTTTAAAAAAAAAGAAAATAAATCAATACTTTTATTCAGCTAGGATGTGTTTATACACACACACACACACATATATATAATGAAATATTTTAGTTTGAGTGTATCTTTATATTTACTTTCTTTATAGTAAATAACACTTGCTTTGCTGTTTTGCTATCTAATACAATGGCATTCATAAGTTTATAAATTGATTTAACTGTCCAAATATTGTTTGGGGCTGCTGTAAATTGATCAGAAATCAACATTATGCAAAGGTATAGGCTAATGAATAATTTTGCTGCACATGTTTTATTAGGCACTGTGTATCATCATCATAACCTATACAAATCACAACACCAACTCTAATATTAAATGCATTCTCGTTTGGTTTAATAGTTCAATTCAGTGCTGGAAATGTAAGAGGACAATCTTTTTTTGCACCATATATGCAGAACTACATCTGAGAAAGTCCTGATGTTTATTTGAGAGCTGTTGAAAGTGAGATATTTCACTCTTGGTCCTTCTCCTCTCCATGTGTGATAATGTAAACCAGATTCTTGTAGTCCAGATTACCTGCAGCGTCTGGAGGAAAAGCACTAAACATCTCCTCCATCTGAGGAAAGACGGAGCAACAATATAGTATTATGGTGTTTCAATGGGTTTTACATATTTTGAATTCACTATTTGTGTTCATAATCTATAGATAAACACCTATAGCCAGTTTTTTATTTGTATATAATACGAATGTCATTGTGACATATCACAGTGCTGCCTAGGACACAGAGAGCTGAAGTGTGACATAAAACAAATAATCTCAAGATGTCAAACCTCTTCTGGAGAAAATCTGTCCGCTTGCGTTGTCAACATCCCTGACAAACTGTGAGGAGAGACGAACTTCGGTTTAACCTTTTGAAATAATCGAATTACGTCTGGCAAACACTTCACACATGCTTGCAGGGTTTGAACAGGCTGTATGTACTGCATCTATTCAGTACAGTCACAAAGTTGCAAAACAAAGCAGAATCTTTGGAGGAATGGATTTACAGAGAAGCAGGGAAATCTTTTTATAGTATTGTGTAGCTTAAATATTACTCACAAATCCTTCCTCAAAGTCCCCTTTCCCTCGGGGTCGAACACTTTAAAGGCATTCAGGATAGTCTCCTCTGCATCGGCACCTGTTTTTGTTTTTTTATGGAGCAATGGAAAACTGGTGAGAGAGATGACTGAACTTAAAATCCTCTAGGAATGCAAAAAAGACATACTTTGTACATGACTCCTAGTGGAATCTGACATGGGAATCTTCATATAGGCTCATAGAAGAGCTTCCAGAACATAATAGTTCCTTATTGGCCCATTATGATTCTCAGTGGGATCAAATTACGTAGGACTTTAATAGGAAAGAAAATCCCTGTATGATTTCTTGTCCCCTTGTAGACTTATTCCAAAACAACCAGAGTTTAAATAATATACAATTTATACGATTTTAAGAATTAAAACATATTCTGAATAAAATGTTGTGATGCCATGGTGATGTTGGTGGTTGAAACAGTAATATTGTGAAATATTATTACAATTTGAAATAACTGTTTTCTATGTGAATATGTCAAATTGTAGTTTATTCCTGTGATCAAAGCTGTATTTTCAGCATCATTACTCCAGTCTTCAGTGTCACATGATCCTTCAAATCATCATAATATGCTGATTTGCTGGTCAAGAAACATTTCTGATTGTTATTGATGTTGAAAACTGTTGTGCTGCTTCAAATTCTTATGGAAACCATTATAGATTTTTCAGGATTGTTTGATGAATAGACATTTTTTTTTAAATAGAAATATTTTGTAACATTATTAATGTCTTTACGGTCACTTTTGATCAGTATCATGCATCCTGCTGAATAAAATTATTGATTTCTTAAAAAAAATCTTACTGACATCAAAGTTTTGAATGGATGGATGACAGACAGACAGACAGACAGACAGACAGACAGACAGACAGACAGACAGACAGACAGATAGATAGATAGATAGATAGATAGATAGATAGATAGATAGATAGATAGATAGATAGATAGATGAATGATAAATAGATAGACAGACAGATGATAGATAGATAGATAGATAGATAGATAGATAGATAGATAGATAGATAGATAGATAGATAGATAGATAGATAGATAGATAGATAGATAGATAGATAGATAGATAGATAGATACACTCTAAAAACTCCTGGGTTATTTCTTCAACCCATTTTCTGGGTTATTTGTGTTGGGTTAAAATTATGGGTTATTTTTTCAGAGAGTACCCATTTTCTGGGTTATAGGGCTAATATTTTGACCCAATTCCTGGGTTGTTTGAGTTTCTGGGTTATTTTTCAAAGAGTAACCCATGTTCTGGGTCCCCCCTCGGCCCCTCCCCCCTGCAGTTGTTCTGGAATTTTCTCACAACAGTCATTTGAAATAACCGACACTTCGCGCTCGATCCGTTTTGGCCTGTGCTTCCTCGGTGCAACTTCGTCGTGTATTCAAGGTAAGCGAGTATTTTCAGTGTTGGTATAATGTAATATTTTCTGTGTCCATGTCCCCGTTGCTAGTTTAGCACCATTTGCTGAAAAAGTTACCATGGCTTATAGTTGCTACGTTGAGACTAGTGTTAGCTGTGGTAATTGTGGTTGTCATGTACGTTAGCTACACTATCGCGAAAACATCTAACTTGTAAAGTCAAAATAAATATGTGTTTTGAGTTTGTCAGACTAAAGAAGAAAGTGTTATTAACCACCCAGACAGTTTGAAATGATTAAAAATAACGCTAGGTTCATGAAATTAGGGTGAAATGAACAAAATGGGTGAAATGCTTTTTACACATTGTTGAGAAATACATTATGACCTATTTAATGTGTTTAGAAGAAAATTACTGAATTCACTTTAAAAGGTCTTTAAATTCTATTTTTCATAACATGTGCTGTACTTATCTCATTGTTATAATAACGGCAATAATACGGTAACGTAGCTACAGTGCAGCTAACTTAGTGGCAACGTCGCGGCTAGAGCGACAACACAATCGTTGAGTTATTTTTACCAGCTGCGCCGTGCTTATCATATTATACAGTGCTCTACTGGCTGAAGTAGTGAGAGTTAAAACCTGTTAAACTTTGCAAGTGTGCCGCGCACTGAAGCGTTTTTTGGTTAAATAGTTCAAAGTTACTATAAGATTTAATGTTATTACCGTGACAAACTATACATCATATGACTCAAGTTTCAGTATTTGACCACTATTGTATTCTGATAAACTTATATTGACAGTTATGTCTTAATTTGTGTCAGAAGTTATGAAAAATATAGTCGATTACTTTAATATGAATTATGATCGTCAGCCGCTCTCATTGAAAAAAAAAAAATCCTGTGCTGTCGTCATGACAGCGCTTGACAAAACAACGTGCCTCAGGGCTTTTAGCTAAAAAATTTGCAGATTTGGAGAAATATTGATAGATTCTCATAGGTTTACATCAGAGTTCTATAGACAGGAATAATATTTATTGAATTTATACCCAAATGTGTCGATGTAATAATTATGAGCACTGGATACTCTGATGCTGTGTTTTCAATCCATAAGAGCAGCCTGAGGGCGCCCTATGCACATGTAGTCCATATATGTTACACACTAAGAAGTCATAATCATGTGACATTCCAGGACGTCCCTGACATAAACAAAGCTAACAGAGATCGCTGTAACATGCATATAAAGATGTTGCGAAGACAATAAACATGATTGCAATGATATTTGATTGACCTGTGTTCTTCGAGCCATGCCAGGTATTTTCATAATAATAGATTATATTTATAATGTAATGCTAATGGATATAGACTTTATCATCGTGCAGAATACTATAAAATAATATATTGTTTGTCTGATTTTTTTATCTGAAGCCAAATCAGATCACAGAAGGTTATTTAAAACAGCCAGTCGTTAGTAATTATAATGCAGACAAAAGAAAAGCATATTTTATGCTTTTAGTACAAAGGGTTCATGAACTGTATCTGTTTCAGTTTGGGTATGCCATTTCTGGGGATTTTTCAAAAGTGGGGTTTGCAGCCTAACAGATTAAAGAAGCGGGTCAAGTCTTCGAATTGTTGCTAACCTCTATATTACTATGTTTTCTCCAGGTCATTTTAAATGGACAGCTTTGTCGCTGATATGCTAACTGAGGGGCGGCTGTCTGAGCTGATAGAGAATTTTAGAGGTGAGCATTTTACTCTTACTGCC